CCCGGAGCCGGACCGCTTCCCGCTGGACGGGCCAGGCGGCCATCATGGATGCCCCCCTGCCACCGCAACCGAACTAGAGGGTGGAGGACTTCACCTCTGGTTACGCCACCACTCGAGGGAGGAGGAGAGCGCAGCCCACGTTGTGCCCGCGTATGGACCCGATCGTCCATTACGCGACACGTGAGTGGCCAAAGCCCCTAGCGGCCAAGAGGCCCGCTTTGGGGTACGGCATGTATTGTAACGTGCAGGACTGGTCCTGGACCGGCGGGGTCCCGGACATCGAGGACTCGGTTCGAGCAGCCCTGCACCCCTCCGCATCCGTGTGGCCCGGCACCAGACCTCTCCATCCCTCCGAGCGGGATAGGATGTCTTTGGCGATGCACGATAGATGTTACGCCAATGCGGCTCAGGTCGTCGCGGTGGCTAACAACATGGCCTTCATCACCGGGGCCCTGGATAGGTCTCTCTCTTCTGGCCAGGCGCTCAGTGGAGACACCTTATCCCAGGCGAGGACCACTTCAGCAGCGATCCTGCGCATGTGCCAGGCGCTAGCTGTCGATGGCGGCCGCACGATGGCAGCAGCACAAGTTGGGGCCAGACACCTCTGGCTGGGGCCGGTGAACCTCAGAGAGGCGGAGAAGAGGCAGCTGCTGGACCTGCCCATCTCCCAAACGTCACTCTTCGGTCCGGAGATGCAGACGCTGATAACTAGGCTGGACACCGCAGCTAAGGACTCTGCTAGCCTAGCCCAGCATCTAGCTGCGAGACGCGAGGCCCGCCCACCAGCGCGGAGCCGAGACAGAGGCAGGGAGCGCTCGCCCGGCAGGCGCCCCGGACCATATCCACGCTCCGTGGTTCATCGTTCCCCAGCGACGAGGCCCCCGGGCCCAGACAGGCACACGGGAGGCTTGCGGGACCAACGCACCCACCGACGACCTCCCTATGGCAGAGGAGGTCGGGGTGGGAAGAATTCTTTCAATAAAAGCCGTGCGGCATTTCATCAGTACTCGCTGTCTGAGTCTCATTTGGGGGTATGTAACATGTCAAATGATTTGAATTCTGATTGTGTTACTTCTCGAGCATATAACGTGGCTCCGCTAGGCCTGCAGCCCCCAGAGAAGGGCGTGCAGCGTGCTATGCGGGCCACGGGCTCCGATTCACGGGTTCATGTTTTGCCCTCCCGGAGAGAGGGCAGGCGGAGGGATCTGGTAAGTGATAATGTGTGTGCTCCAGCCGAACGCGTGTTAGCATCTCTGAGCTACAAGGCTAACACGGGGTTTCCCACTCCAGGGGCTTGTCCCCCCCTCCATGAGGCAAGAGCCAAGGGGGGGCACAGCAGCCGTGTCACGTGTGGTGAGCAGAGCTACAAGGCTAACACGGGGTTTCCCACTCCAGGGGCTCGCCCCCCCCTCCATGAGGCAAGAGCCAGGGGGGGGCACAGCAGCCGAGTCACGTGTGGTGAGCAGTCCCGTACTTATGACGTCGGGCCTGCAGAACACGTGACCGCCCTCGGTGCTCACGGTGTGACGCAGGGGCCCCCCCGGCCCTTTCAGCCACCCCCCCTCCATGCTAGGAACACCAGGAGAGGGCGGGGCCTTCCTTCCAACTTTTTTTTCAGTAAAGCCAGGTCGGATTCATTCCGAAAGCCAAAATGTAAATTAGTCTCAAACTTTAATACTTCACCTTTGTTTCACGTTCATGTGGAGAAAAGACCATTGTTTCTATGTGTGTTGACGTACTTGCACCAATCATGTCTGAGACAAACTGCCAAACAGTTGTATCAAAGACATAATTGTACTAATGGTTTATAATTTAGCTATTGGAAGAGAAACATGTCATAAAAGATTTCATAAAATGTTTCTACATCCGTGTTTTCAACCAGTGGGCCGTGGTGCGTTAGTGTGTTATCAGAAATGATCCAATATCACCTCTAACCATGATTTAGAAATACTCTATATTATTTTTCAGACTGTTTTTTTTTTTTTTTTTTTGATTGTCTGAACAAACCACTTTTGTATTAAATGCAACGTCCATTAAAAGCTGCAGTTCTCTTTCCAGCACCAGTTTCAACTGTGCATGTGATTGTTTTAAATGAGAAACAAGCCATGGTTCAGAGGTTGAAAAAAATTGCGTTAAATATCCGTATTACCAAGATCATGCAGTCAAAATCAATAATTCTAAACTTCTCCGCGTCTATAACTTTAAATAACAATAATAGTTTTAATAATAAAGCTCCTCTACCTTAAAATATACTGCTGTTCTAATCTCCTTGTGTCTCATGCTAAAGTAAGAGTCTAATTAATTTTGACGATTGTCTTGTAATCATTCATGCAGTTAAAAGTAGTGTTATGAACGAATGACCTAAATGTGTAAATATGACCTAAATGTCCTATATGTCTTGGTGCGTTTGTTGCCTGTCTGTATACAATACCTTCTGTCTGTTTCATTTAGCCCTCCAGTCCTCCTCTTATGGCGTCTTTCAATTGTCTTTGTCTCATGGTGTCCACTGTCTTTGTCTCAATGTCTTTTTTCTTCTTCTTTCAATCACTTTCTTCTCCTTGCAATGTCTTTTTCTTTCATGTCTTTTTTGTCTCATTTTTGACGCACACAAATGTGTCGTATCCTTCTTCTTGTTAGGTTTTCCGGCGGTTGGCGGCCTATTTTTTGCATTACCGCCACCTTCTGTTCCGTGGATGGGTCAGCACTCAGTTTGTGAAAAGTCTGCGGTCTTTTCTTTGCCTCCTCACAGGAATGGAGGCAGGAGAAGTCTTCTTCGAGAGTTCCTGTTAGCTGCTGCAGCCAATGCTGCTGTCTTTGGTGCCCCCTGTGGGTGAAACGGGGGAGACGCTGATGGTCCCTTTTAGTAGACGCTCAGTTGAGGCTTGTGGCGCGGACGATTTTGGCCAATGAAACAGACAGAAGTTTTCTCAGGAAAAACAGACAAGAAACACAAACAAGTGTGTTAATTACCATACAAAACCAATGATTAATTACAAATCAAAATAAACCTATGAAATAATTAATATTAACATTTTAAACATTAAATTCTGAAAACCAAATCTGCATTCAACTGCTATCCTAAGCCCTATTTTTCCAAAAGTATACTGTTCTTTAAGATCATTCTAACTTTTATATCACCTAAATGTAGGGAAAAAACTTGTCCAGACGCCTTGGAGATAAAAATAAAATAATGCCTCTTTATAATCTAACTCAAAGTTCTGTGATCATATGACTCCATGTCAGTAACATTATCGAGTGTATAAATGTAATTTTCTACAAAAAATATATATATTTGGTAATAGTTCTGTCTTCGAGAGAGAGAGAGAGAAAGAGAGCAGACAGAAAGAGGAAGGGGAGGGGCTGAGTGCTGTATGCTTCAAGCATTTCCCTCGTTTTTCTCGTGACAAGGTTTTAATCAGTGGTAAAAGTTTTTCTCACTTCAAACGACACTTTACATTTTATCCTTAAATACATCAGTAATGGAAAACATTACAATTTGCTTACATGAATAATGTATCACTAGTCACAGCAAGATTTTTTTTTCTTTTTCGTAATACCTCTGTAACTATTGAAACATTACATCACAATACAAGAGAAAACTCCCAGACTGATCTTTTGTCATTTCTTCACATGGAAACTCATAGTTACAGCCAAGTGGCTCTCTTTTTTCTCATTAATCAGATCATTATTATCAGAATCCACATTTTAAATACTTGGCTTTTTTCTGTTTAAATGTACCCTTTTTCCCGCCCCCCGGGGGATATGGAGGTTTTATTATTCTATAACTTCTGACCCTAAAGCTGTCCCTATTTCTCTAATTCTATTCCTATTTTTCACTATACACTTGTGCCTCTCTGCACTTTAAAACGGTGTGCCTCTTCTGCACTCTAAACGGTGTGCCTCTTTTGCACTCTAAACTCTGTGGACTCTTATCATCATCTATGTTCTGTTTATTTTAGGAGGGACCCATTCTTCCCCCAAGGCTAAAAACGTCTCTCTCTCTTCTATTTAAAACAATGTGCAGATTTTCAAAACTATGGTCTGCTTACCTCTTTAGAAGCGACTTTTTTGAAGAGCAGAGAGATTTTTTCCAGGCCCACAAATCCAGTCTCTATATCTGAGCTCATCTCTGTCTTGCTCCTGCACCATCAAGTCGGGATTCACCAAATGATGTCAAAAATTCCCTTTGACTGACGTGTTCGAGTTGATGCAGAAGTATGACAAAAGATCTCCAAGTTTAACATCTGTATTTAATTTCCTTACAATCAGATACAGAAATTCCAACAAAGAGAGCTCCTAAACTAATCCATGTCCCTCTCTGGCCCTGTGCTCACTCTCAGCCCCCTGCTCAAACCAGAGCATATCAGGAGAGGTCCAGGAAGAAGGGGGCGTGTCGTATCAGGCAGCTTCCGGTCTGAGATCCGCCTCCGCACCATGTGGCCTCCTCTGTCTCGCCAGACCTAAACAGAAATCATTCACACACTACCCCTCCCTAATTCTATAGAAATATTACTTCCTTGAGATAAGACAGGAGACTCCCAAGGCTGTCCCTCCAGATTCTGGGTCCATCTCCTTCTCCAAACAAGGAAAGGATTAGCAGAATCAGATCTTGGCCCCCCCCCCAGATTAACTATCGTTAACTCATATTCTGCACTTTGGACTACAAAGGAAAGAGCTGAGACCAAGTCTTTTTGCTTAGGAAAGAGACAGAGTTCAAATCAGGGTCAGTCAAATTCACATCTGCTTTTTAGTCTATATTTAATACAACACTTTCCATTCAAGCAACCATTTACAGAAAAAAATGGCATAATTTTGCTGATAGTTTGAAATGCGATTAATTACAATTAATTCATTTTTAAGCTGTAATTAACTTTATTAAAAATTGTAGTCGTTTGACAGTCCTATTCTTTTTTATCTTTATAGTAATCATCATCTTGTAAAGTTTACTTCTACCAAACAAGATCTGGGAGAATGAATGACTGTGCAATCTTGTACTGAAGGTGAATGCAGTGACCGGGAGCCTGTTCACATCCAAAGTGCTGGAGGAGCGAGCGGAGAAGGACAGCGAGGAGCCTGAGGGGAAGGAGCCGGAGGGCGAGGCGTGTGAGGAGCAGGTCTACGACTGGAGCGCTGGACTCGATGAAGCCGACGACTCCAACCTCTACTTCTCTCCGGACCAGGGCAACGTAGTGTTCGCCAGCGCCATCGACGGCTGGGGATTCAGGTATATCTGTCGAGTTATCTGAGCTTTGGCCGGCACGGTGGCTGAGTGGATACCACACTCTGAGTGCAGTTTACATGTTCTCCCTGTGTCTGCGTAGGTTTCCTCCGGGTGCTCCGGTTTTCCCTAGCACTAAAAACATGTACATTAGGTATGAATGTAATGAATGAATGATTGAATAGATGGTGTTGAATGGGGGCGTTGATGCGTCAGTGTGTTCGGCGTCTCTCTTCTGTCATCACCGTGAATGTGAAAAATATTTGGTTTCTGAACATTGTAAAGCGCTTTGGGTGACCTTGGTCTGAAAAATGCGCTATATAAAAAAACACTACTCACTTACTTGACCCTGTCAGTATGTGGTATAATTAAAACTAAACCTATAGACAGGGGTGCACATAAGTGGTACGCAGGTACGCATGCGTAGCAAATATCAGAAATGCGTACTATCACATGAGTTAGTAACCGCTTGTGCGTACTTCACATAGACCAGTCCTTCTCAAATAGTGCGGGCTCCTCCCTAGGGGGGCGTGGTGCTATAACATCCTCCGTTCTGACCCCGGGAGAAACTGGCCGGTTTGACAACTCAACGAACGCGCGCGGACCATAGACGCGCGTATAGAACCATACACACACGATCAGGACCGTCCTCAGGTTGTTTTGCACGTGCAGGTCTTGCCTGTCTCCCCCGTCTCTCCCCCGTCTCTCCCCCGTCTCTCCCCCGTCTCTCCCCCGTTTCTCCCCCGTCTCTCCCCCGTCTCTCCCCCGTCTCTCCCCCGTCTCTCCCCCGTCTCTCCCCCGTCTCTGCTCCGTCTCTGCTCCGTCTCTCCCCCGTCTCTCCCCCGTCTCTCCCCCGTCTCTCCCCCGTCTCTGCTCCGTCTCTCCCCCGTCTCTGCCCCGTCTCTGCCCCGTCTCTCCCCCATGCCTCTCCCAAGTCTCCCCCAAGTCTCCTGACGAAGCGCAGCCATAACAGCCACAGAATTAAAGCTCAGGTACCTACATTTTCGCGTGCATTGAAAATCCATGTTATTTGTAAACCAAAGTAAAATGTTGTGACCAAATCAAACAGAAAAAACCAAAACAGTCTTGTTTTTTTAATTTATAAACTTAAGAGCCCTGTGAGTCGTTATTTGACTTTTTGGGCTGAGAGTGGATTTTTTATATTTTTTTCCACATAGTTAGTGCCACTTTATTGCCAAACTCTTTTTGACTTATTGTATTGAGAAACATGTGTTAGTCTCACATTATTATTGCTTTTTTTATTACCTTTCCTGTGTGGAAGTTGTATATTCTTTTTATTATTCTACTGAAGGATTATAATAATACACTGCATTTTTATAGACAAGTGTCATCTCTCAAATTCTTTTGAAATGATGTTTCTATCTGCTCCAGAGGCCGAGATATCAATCATTCTGTAGACGTTGAATTTCAGGAAAACCTCAGGTTTTGGAGGGTGGTTCTGAAGTTGGCCATAGGTTTTACAGGTCTGTTTTACCAACTATGTCAGGCCTTAATGGGTTATTTGACTTGGATTGAGTGAATTATCTGAGCTGAACTAAACTCTAGCATTAAAAAGAAGCAAGTATAAAATCTTGATTAAGAACTGCGCGACAAATGGAATGAGTACCAAACTCATACAAAATTATGTGCACCCCTGTCTATAGATGTTTTTAGCTTCATCCATGCAAACCAATGTACTTCCTCCAAATTAGTTCTGGGCCCTTCTGTTTTCTGCCTGCTTACATTAATATTGATGATGATGATTAAGATGATAATCATTGGTTTAAGTGGCCCAAAAGTGGTGCCGGTGTTCTGTCGAGTTGGTCTGCCCGTCGAGATGAGCTCCCACAGCTGTTAATGATGTAAATGCAAACCTGCGCATTCGCGTCTCACGGCAGCCAAGATGGCGGACATGGAGTCCGTGAATTGCTTTAAAAGTTAAAATACAAACAAATTAAGACACGAATGTCACTTTTAATGCAATTTGAGGCGAGATGTTGATGGTTTCGTGTTGTGATATGTGGGTTTTAAGAGTCAAAGTTTTGTGTAAAGTTTGTTTTAAGCAGTCCCCGAGTTGACTGCTGCATACGTCATTTTACTGACGTAGGCCGATGACGCGTCCTGTGACTGGTCTGTCGGGTTGATAATGGAAATAATAAATTAAATTTAATGCATGTATCATACTGTATTCAATATGATTATATTAGTGTGTTCAAACAAAATATTTAATTAGATTGAGTGTTTTCCATATTCTGTCGGGTTTCTGCGCATGCGCAAATCAGATTTGGGTTACAGCAGCAGTGTAGTTTCACAGGAGCAGTGGACTGCTTAAAACAAACTTTACACAAAACTCTTACTCTTAAAACACACATATCACAACACGGAACCATCAACCTCTTGCCTTAAATTGCATTAAAAGTGACTTAATTCGTTCGTATTTTAACTTTTAAAGCAATTTGCGGACTTCATGTCGGCCATCTTGGTTTGCTTCGGCTGCCGTGAGACGCGCATGCGCAGGTTTGCATTACATCATTAACAGCTGTGGGAGTTCATCTCGATGGGCAGACCAACTCGACAGAACGCCAGTACTCTTTTTTTATGTTTTTTTTTATTTTTTTGCTCAGTTGAATTTCTGCATGTTTTTAATGCAAAGGAATGCACTTATCTTTCCCTGAAGGAGTTTTATTTACCGTTGACTGTCAACAGACAACTTTATAGAAAATAATATATCCATCATATGCATTCCTTTAGGGATATGCTTGAGCTATAGAAAGAGCTACTGAAAAATGAGAAATACTGTGCAAATTATTTTACCTAGAAAAAGCTGCAGCATGTTTTGGGCTCCACTTTCCTTGCACTTGCAACCCTCCACAGGTTGTGGATGCTGCACTTCTCCCCAGTGCCAGCCGTGTCTGCACATCTGTGCATTAAACTGATCCAAGGGGGGTCCTTGCATTTGTACGTCAAAAGTACTTTTTTGGTGCACAGAGAGGTGCCGGTACGATCAAGAGCTATTTTCGAAAGGGCCGGTACTGCGTACCGACGGGTACCGGCAGGAACCGGCCTGTACAGGCCAACTAAAAGTGCTAATACATTGTACTTTTATAGTGCTAGTGACTGTGGAATGTTAATAGATAAAATGTCCTGGATCATTACCACTGTCCATAGACTCTCCTGCAGGTGAATAAGAAACACAAATAAAATTCTAATTTCAACAGAAGGCCTGATCCTCTGAGTTCAGTAGGTTCGAGCCTCAGGATTCAGAAGGCTCGGTCATCATCTATGAGAGTCCTGGGGCGTTCCCAGGCCAGCAGAGAGACACTGTCCCTCCAGTGTGTCCTGATACCTGTTTCACCATATATGTTCTACTCACAGCTATTTTTCACTTTCTAAAATATGATAATTCAACGTAAATAATCTCATTTGTCTTAAATAATAGAAATATGTCATAATGTCTTTGCTTTAACTTCCCACTAGGTGGGGCTGTGGCACCAGTAAAGCTGTGGATTCTAGGCTCAGTGTTTGAAATTCTGCTGCTGTCTCCTTCAGCTCCTCTCAAACCAAGTCACACCACACTCACATTATCGTTTTGAAAACCCTCTCTGATGTTCAACTGTTTGGGAGCAAATGTGGCTTGGACACGTTCAGCTTCAAGACCAACGCCCATGTCAGATTTATTTGTATAGCACATTTACAACAGCAGCAGCCCAAAGTGCTTCACAGGCACAAAATAAGAAAAAAAATGAATACAAATGGACCAGAGCGAGAGACCAGAGCGAGAGACCAGAGCGAGAGACCAGAGCGAGAGACCAGAGCGAGAGACCAGAGCGAGAGACCAGAGCGAGAGACCAGAGCGAGAGACCAGAGCGAGAGACCAGAGCGAGAGACCAGAGCGAGAGACCAGAGCAGAGAAAAAACAAAAAACGAGAACAAACCAAGAGACCAGAGAGAGAGTGAGGCCAGAGAGTGAGGCCAGAGAGTGAGGCCAGAGAGTGAGGCCAGAGAGTGAGGCCAGAGAGTGAGGCCAGAGAGTGAGGCCAGAGAGTGAGGCCAGAGAGTGAGGCCAGAGAGTGAGGCCAGAGAGTGAGGCCAGAGAGTGAGGCCAGAGAGTGAGGCCCGAGAGTGAGGCCCGAGAGTGAGGCCCGAGAGTGAGGCCCGAGAGTGAGGCCCGAGAGTGAGGCCCAAGAGTGAGGCCCGAGAGTGAGGCCACGCTTTCAGATATACTGGGGCTAAACCCATTTAAACAATATCAGACACACAGTTCTTCGACCTTCTAAACTCATGTTGGGAAAGTGAATTGGATCTAAATGTCGTAGGTCAAGTGTGTCATCCAGATATCCTTTCGTCTGGGTCCACTTGTTGTGACCGGGGCTCATTGAAATAAATGAACAGTCTCTCTGTTGACTCTCGAGACTCTGATCCAGACACTCACGGCCATTAACCACAATTATTTACTGATGACAACTGAAGGACCCTGTTTTTCCATCCGCTTGATTTCAAATCTGTTAGGCAATGTGCATTCATAACTTCTGATTTATAATTCATTGGAGATGCACTGATACTAAGAAAGAGATGTCCTGTATTATTCCCCACTGGGATTTTTTGTGTTGCATCACAAGTTAAAGAACTGTAGGAATAAGGAGCACATAGCACAAGATCAGTGAACATTAAATATAGAACAACTTTATACAGGCCTGTCATTAACTACTATTTTGATTCTCTCGGGTCTCTGGTCTCTCTCAAGTCTCTCTTGCCTCCTTCTTGTCTTTTTCTGACCTCTGGTGTCTCTCTTGTCTCTCTCTGGTGTCCTTGTAGCCTCTCTCTGATATCTCTCTAGTGTCTCTCTCTCTATCTGGTACCTCTCTGGCCTCTTGTCTCTCTCTGGTTTCTCTCTGGTCTCGGTCCGGCCTCGCTCCAGTCTCTCTCTGTATGCCCAATTCTTGCTCAAAGCTGGGGTGATTAAATTACATGTTTATTGTGTCCCAACAGAAAAAAGTCTTGTAAAAGTAAGATGTTTAGACCAGCGTCAGATCTACGTTGAAATCATGTTACTTTTAATTTATGAATACTTGTAAAACAAGAATCCTGAAAGGTCCAGTATACGCATAACTCTCAGATATTGTAATCTGCTTGATGTTGTCTTGCAGCATCCAGCAGTTTGCTCAGATCTACAGTGATCGCATGGGGATCAGCGCGCGGGTGTTGCTGAAGACGCTTTGGGGAGATTTCTACCTCAACGTCAAAGCCAAGAAGATCATGAAGGGAGCTCAGGTGAGGCTGGTCCTGAAGACAGCAAATTGAGAGGGGAGGGGGAAGCAAGTTTAAACAATTCAGACAACCCAGATTCTAACACTGTTTGATTGAATTCTGGCTATGGGTTTAAAAAAAAGAAAAACAGATTCCTTCTGGGTGATGTGGATGAAGTATCTTGCTTTACAGGTGCAGCCTCCCCACTCTAGCTGTTCACAGAGGTCTAACCAGTACTAATACTTACCAGGCCTTGCTCTGCTTAGCTTCAGAGTTCTGACTGGTCTTTCACATTCATTTGGTGCCACAATCTGCTCTTGTTTCTAATGTATAGGAGACCATTAAAGAGCATATTTTTCTAATATATATATATATATATATATATATGTATATATATATATATTATTCTTTATATATTATTTATCTCTATATATTTAGACCTAAACCCAGACACATGTGTACCTGTACCTGTTAAAGGTGTATAGGAGGATTTTCTTCTTTTGGGTGGATTGGCTAGACCAGGGGTGTAAAGCTCATTTTGGTCTGGGGACCAAATACAACCTAATTGGATCTCAACTGGGCTGGACCAGAAGATTCTCTACAAAAATACTCAAACATAACAAAGTCCAACTTTTTGTGCACATAAACACATTTATTTAAAACTTACTTTAAAACACTGTCTTATTCTCTCTCAGTTTTAAATGTAAATCTGTTACTAACCTAAATGTAACAGTGAGATTTTCATAGTGCAAATAAAGTATTTACAATATTGCATTGTAAATGGCATTTCTCAATATTTATATTAATGTTTGTTTGTCAGCCTTGAGTGCAGCTTTGTTTTATTAATTGTTTTTTGGTACATGCGTCAAATGCGTTAATTTCTTTAATGTGACTAATGAAAAAATGTAATTAACGTGCGTTAACGCGATAATTTTGACAGCCCTGATATAATATTTTTATTTTTTATATTTTAAGAATGTATCTAGATTTGTATTATGTCTTATTCTTTTCTCTTGTTTTGACTTGGTTGCACCGAGAGCCAAAGCAATTTCCCAGTATTTGACTTCCTGTTACTTACATCTTACTTCTGAATAGCAGTGAGTGCCTCTCCTCGGCAGAGTAGGCTTGCGTCACGCGGCTGTATACACACCGACAGACCGCACTGGGATGCTGCTGCTTCTGCTCTCACTGATGCTTCAGTTGCAAAGTTGGGCATTCTATTTGGAGAAATCCATTTCACCTCACTTCCAATAAATGTTATCCCCATCTATACTGTCTGACATAGTGGAAAAAGTGCCAATTTTGGAAATTGAGCTAGGGTGTTTGACTTGTAAACAGACCATGCACGATGAGAACTGGGTCTGGCATGTTGTAAGTAGTAAGTAATGATTATTTATATAGCGCATTTTACAGACCAAGGTCACCCAAAGCCCTTTACAATGTTCAGAGTTCAGATATATATTGTCCAATCATTCCACACACCTTGATGACGGAAGCGAGTCGCCGAACACACTGAACCATCAAAGCCCCCAATCAACACCATCCATTCACTCTCTCATTTACATTCATACCTATTGTGCATGTTTTTAGTGGTAGGGGAAACCGGAGCACCCGGAGGAAACCTACGCAGACACGGGAAGAACATCCACTCAGAAAGGCCCTGTTCCGACCGGGATTTGAACCCAGGACCATCTTATTGAGAAGCGAAAGTGCTATCCACTCAGCCACCGTGCCGCATGTCACATGTTTTAGTAGGCGTATCCTCTGGAGAGGGCAATTCTTTCCTAAAATTTGGGGGGGAGGAAGGATTTAGGAATCTGATCCTGAAGCCATGATCCTGAATGGTCCACTTTTGAATTTGCATAGATTTTTTTTTTTTTTTGATGATTCCTTTTTAACCTTTAAAAGACGATGCCGACGACGGTTGCGCACATGTTTTACAAGTGATCAATTTACTTGTGAACGGTAAAAGGTTGCTTTTTCTCTCTCCGTGAAGTACACATTCCAGCCTTTCCGAAACTAGCTAATTGGATCTTTGAGCGGTGACCTGTGAGCCAGACACAGCCAATTGTAAAGTTTGTTACTCACACGGGGACTCAGACAAAGATCGTCAGAGATTAGGATCTCTCACTCCTCTGTCTTTACTTGTTGCTGCATAGGCAGCAGCGCTCAGAGGAGCCAGAGGAGTGCGCATTATTGAGAATAGACAATACAATAATAAATACAGTAAAAAGATATTATTTGTATATAATTTATTTATATATATATATATATATATATATATATATATATATATATATATATATATATATATATATATACATATATATATATATACAATAATAACTAAGATGGCTGACACAGCTGCTGGTCACAACTCTGCTCCAGTTTTCAAACGCTCTCGCTTGAAACCAGAGATATACAAAACAACTGATGGGAAAACAATTGTTGAAGATGAACTGCTCAATTTCCTTTGTGTAAAAATGAAGATTATGAGCCAGGATGAGATTATTATTCTGGCTGCTAACACATTTGACTCCGAGTGGATTGAGGCCTCCAAGAAGGCCCTCTTTGAGCTCTGCCCTTCTTCGCAAAGGAATGTCACACACAAGGGAGCGCAGAAAGATGCCAACAACATCAAAAGCTGCCTTAAAGTATTAAATGAGTGTGGGGAGAATATTCCCAGATTTGTTTCCTATTATCTGGATGAGCTCCCACCTGTCACGTTTAATAGTCTGGACGTCTCATGTCTATTAACAAAAATGGAGCAGATGGCCGCAGAAGTTGGCGCTTTAAAGCAAATAATGAACTCACAAGTCAGCATTACTAGTGATCTGCGCATTGCTGCGAGCGGGATCTGCAACCGGGTGTGCTCCCTGGAGAGGGAGCGCAATGAGCGGGCCTGGCCCGCTAACGTGGATGTAGCAGCTGTCACGACGCAAGCTATGCCTCTTGTGTCTGCTGTGAAAGAGGTCCTGACCCATGGGGAGAAAAGTGCAGCGGAGACAGCGACTCCGACAGTACCGGCTCCGGAGGTGTATGCAGGGACCGCTGCGGAGAGGAGTTTACGGGGGCAGCAGTCGCCAAAGTGGAGTGAGGTTGTGAAGAGGAGCCGGCGCGCAACAACCGATGAAGCTAATGCAGTACGCACGGGACAGGGGAGGAAGCCACGGGCCACTAAGCCTATCGTTGGCACTGGGACTGTGGGCAGCATCCGAACCATACAGACCAAACTGGTGAGTGTGTTTGCTTCTCGATTTTCACCTGATCTGGAGGATATAACATTAGCGGAATACTTAAAGAACAAACTCAACCGGGATGTATCATGCCAAAAGATCACCACGGCGCACAATCGATTCAGTTCATTTAAAATATCTGCGGAGTGTAATGACGTAAATGAGATGTATGACCCTGATCTGTGGCCAGAGGGTGCACTCGTTCGGCGGTACTATGAGCCGCGTCGTGTGGGGTACAACAGGGGTGAGCTAGGCGCAGGTGACCCTGTGGGCAGTGCGCGCAATGGCACCGCTGTGGTACCCTAAAATGCAGCTATGGATTTACGTCTTCTGACTTATAACTGTCGGGGCCTACGGCTTGGAAACAGTGCTGCGGATAAAGCTCGTCGCTTGGTTGTCGATGGACTTTTGCAAAATTGCGACATACTGTGTTTGCAAGAGACTTTTTTATCTCAACAAGACTTGCAAAAGCTGAACTCGTTTAATGAGTATTTTCATGGGGCTGGTGAGTCCACTACTGATTTTAACAGGAGTATTGTCATGGGTAGAATAGCAGGGGGTGTGGCAATACTCTGGAGAAAGTCTCTTGATACATGCGTTAAAGTTGTCAGACTTGGAGTTGACTGGTGTATTGGTCTACATTTTACTTGTGATGATAAAGAATTTATAATAGTTAATGTCTACACTCCGTATGAGTGCAAACAAAATGAAGATGTATATTTAGATAAGCTGGCCTTTTTGCATGCGTTTGTTGAAGACAGCCCTGTATCTAGTGTTTACATTGTAGGAGACATGAATGCAGACATTGCAGACATGACTTCCTTATTTGGTAAACATTTGCTACAATTCTGTGAGGATCATGACTATATTCTATCTAGCAGATGTTTACTTCCTATAAAGAGCTACACATATATTAGTGAGGCTTGGCATACAACCTCATGGTTGGACCACTGTATAAGTACAGCTGATGCACATGTCTCCCTGGCATCTATGCAAATACTTTACAGTGTTGTTACTGGAGATCATATTCCTATCTCTTTTAATATACACGTTGACCAGTTACCAGGACTGACAACACACAATGGCCCAGTTAAGCAGGGGAGGCTGGACTGGACAGCTTGTACACAGGAAGACCTCCTGTCCTATTTTACTAGATCTTGTTAGGATTTAGGCAGACAGAGACGGATCGTGGTGTGCCAAACTCTGGAAGTTTATTTACGTTGCTCTCAAGTTCCACTGGTTTACTCTGTTTCTTTTCCTCAGACAGAATAAAGGCAGTACACAGTTTATATAGTCATTGTCACGTCACACATCGAAAGACATACGTGTCACAAAGAGACAGTCACATCATAGTCATAACATGGAGTCCTTGTAGAGTCCTTGTACAGTCCTGCACGTAGGCCATATTGCTATCTAATACTAATACCCTCCCCTTTGATCACATAATCACATGTGATCACTCAAATCGATCAATCAATAAAGTGGAAAAAGAAAAAAAAAAAAATTAAAACAAAAACTTTAAAAAATTATTAAAAACAAAGAAAATGTATGCATTAAACTCATAATCATCAAATCAATATCAGTGGATTTTATCCTCTATCCTGGAAAAAAAAAAAAAAAAAAAAAAAACAAAAAAAACAAATCAAAAATAAAAACAAACAAAATAAAAACAAACAAAAACTATTGGACACACAAGAACTCAGCAGATTCAGTCAAAACACAGACAAAAACGAGCTGAGTCTCAATTTAGAAGCTAATTTCACTTTTCTTACTCTATACTTTTATTCT